CTTACCTTACCTTATTATATTCATCACCAACATTCGCACACGACGCCACCTTTACTCCGGACACCTCACTTTTCTCGTCATCAGTCTTCTTATCAGACACTGCCTCATCTTCAAGCACCACACATGGCACTTCCTTTGCTCCATTAACTTCAACCATTTCGCCACCAATCTTCTTATCATCCGCAACCTCCACTCCAACCACAATACCCTCGCCACTGATATCTTTAAAATCCAACCTCCTCTTTTTTGAAACCACTTCTGCACTCTCTTCGCAGCCATCTTGATTTGGATCGCTGGTCATCTTGACTCGTAGAAAGGACCTTATGTCCACTTTGGTTGCAGTGTCTGTCGATGTTGCAGTTGCTGTGGTCCTTGAGGAAGTGGTTCTTCATGCCATGTAAGTTTAATGCTTTGCTTCCTTTTTGTGAAGATCGGAGTGCTTATTTTGTACTTGTTGCCTTTCAACTAACATAGCACGCAACTCTTTGTGCAAACTTGTGCATCTTTTGTTTTCCTTTAAATTATTTGCATGCGCAACCTCCTTTTGTTTATTTGCGCTTTGCGCTGTTAGTGACTGAAGTTCCACAGAAAGCAAGTTGATTTCTTTGGATCTGTCATCAGTTGACTGCTTTTTCGTTTTGGGTACAGACTTCTCGGACTCAGCAAATTTTGATCTGGAACCGGTTTTCTTACGGTAGACAAAGGTTTTCCTTGCATCTGCCTCAGCGCTTGCTTTTAAGGATGCTCTGTCGCACATTTCATTTGGCGACTTCAAGGCTATTTTGAGGGCTGCAGCGTTTACAGCTTCCTGCCACGCTGTCAACTTCGCATCTCCCCTGAATCTGCCATAAATTTTTGATTGCTCTTTGATAATCTCTTCTTTAAGCGGTTTTTGAGACGGTTCGTCACATACAGGGGATGGGGATGGATAGGATTGAACATCATCAGTCACAACAACAGGCGTTGTGCTGCCAGTAGTTAAAACCACTTTAGGGGATGCAGTCTCCAGGTTGTTGGCAATTTGCTTAAACTTTTGATCAAACTTGAGCAACAAACCCTGTTTTGGGATCATAGCCTTCAAGGAATCCCTGTCCAGAAGGCGGAATGCGTCTCCATCTATTTCATTCTCTAGAATAAAAGTAGGGCAGTTTCGATATAGACTACCCGACAGCCATGTCAGCGAACAATGCCACTAATGTCAAATAGACTCATTCACAGAAAATTAAAATTCCAAATATTCCTGAATCGGACAGTTTATAAAGATAAACAGATGAAAGACTTTAATTCTGATCAAATTTGAGGAATACAGCCGAGCTGGGAAGGCCGCAATTGTTTTCAGTTTTCCACACCCTTTGTGGTGCAAAGTTTTTCCACTCTGAGTATAGGAACGTTGTACTTAATATTATTAAAATAGGAAAACTAAAAATGCGATTCCTTGCTCAATTCCTAACAGGGTTACATTCATCAAAAGAGCTTTTTCCGTGGTAGATTTGGTCATCTATTATACAATCTTTTAATTTATAACTATATTTATCATCGATTAGAAAAAATGTTTGCTGTGTTTGTACCACGATGGCATCAGAAACCCGGTCACAGATCATGAAAATTATATTATTCCATATGTATTAGCAACATACAAAAGATGAAAACAATTCTAAAGAAAGAGAAGCAACTACAAACATATGATATGAGATTTTCAAATATAAATAGTTTTCTACGTGGGTGATTTGTAGCTCATCACGTTTCACTGCAATTTAAAGGGCTTCAATTGTCTTGCGTTGTCACCTTGTAATATTAAAAATGCGCATATTCCTATTAAACAGCAGTGCGAATTCAATCATTGAATTCGTAGTACTCTAAAACCTATTTCAAAAACTGCGCTGGGATTGCGGTGGACGTGACCCCAGCCGTGAGTGATGATAGGCGCCTGTATTCGCAGGCTACTTTTTCTGTGAAGAATCAAGACATTTTAAATGATGATGAATTGCATTTTATAAAGCTCACAAGATCTGTCTTGAATATCACATCATTTGAATTCACAAATCTTACGTATTTTAACTCCACTTTCATGAATTTAAAAAATGCCAGGCTAGTTTTGAATGCGAAATAGTCGTGCTCACATCAGTTATTGTTTTGTGATATTAAAACAAAATATAGTTCACCTTGTCACTTATATTTATATGCTTACAAATAATGAAGAAATATCCAAAATTGAGAAAACATACCTTTAAAAACATTGACCAGTTTTTCTAGTCCCTGACGGACAAGCCATTGCTCGACAAACGCCTCGTCTTTTCCGCTGAATTCATCCATGGCACTTTTAAAAACATGTGTGTCAAATGCCTGGGGGTCGCCCCGGGGTACGCAAATGCCCAGTCCCCGGGCCACGATAAAATTGCGAATGCCCCACCCCCGGGACTGACAATGTCAGCAAATGCTCCGCGGTTGCTCGGGGTGGGGATGGGCACTGCTGGAATTGACTGATGCATTACCCAGGGGGAAAACACTGATGTCAAATACCCCTTCCACACTCACAGGCTTTTTTACCCCTTCCACTGGCTGCCACAGTCTTTTTTTCCCGTCTAGTTATATCCCACGCTTTGTAAAGAGGCATTTCTCCCAAAAGCAAACACTTTCTAAAGCTGTTTAGCCCAACACGGATTAATATTCAACAATGAACGCCATCTTGAGGGGTCGGACAAAGCGGTCAGAAATTACAGTGTTTGTATGGGAATCTGATGGCAAAAAAACTTTTTTCCAAAATGTAATTTTACACAATTTGTGAATTGCAATGTTAAAATACTAGGTCAGTGGAAGATTGTATTCACCAAGTTTCGAGGATGTAGCTGGGCTAGAAGACGCTGAGTTAATATTTCTTATTTTCCATTCATTTGTTTGTAAATTTGACTGGGTAGATGCAGTTCGCGGGAAAAAGATTGCAGACAAATGTATGGAAAATTAGAAAAATTAATTGATCGTCTTCTAGCCAATTTACATCCTTCAAACTTGGTGAATACAATCTTCTACCTGATATTTTAATGTCTTGATTCACAAATTGTGTAAAATTTGATTTTGCAAAAAGTTGTTTGCCATCGGATTCCCATACAAACACTGTAATTTCTGACCGCTTTCCCTACCCGTCAAGAAGTCGTCGAAAACCGTGATATGATCAATTTAAAACAGCGTTAAAATATAGAGCAAAATCCGTACCATAGTGGAAAATAGTCCAAAAAAATTAAATCTGAAACGAGACAAAGAACAAAGGTGAGTAAACTGGAGGTGTCATCATTTCCTTTGAGTTCAGGCTCGTGACTGTAACCTTCTTTAACCTTGATATAATATCCTATCTGATCTCATAAATATTGTCATAATTTCTAGGTTCTCTCTGGCACTCGCAAAGATATATCTTCTGGAGAGAAATGCATAGCAAAATGAAATAAAAAGAAGCAAACTTACCAAAGTTGTCCGCAACACACTTGGCCAAGCTCACCGAGTCTGTTTGACCTGTGTCACGGTCATTCACTCTGCTAATTTGGTGCCAAATATGATGGTATTACTCAGACCCCACATTGACTGATCCATTTCAATCTTGACTTGTTCACTTCACTGTTTTATTTTTTGTGGTTCGGTGCGCAAAGAAGGCTGTTTCGTTTCGTGCCACGCTAAATCACTGCTAATTTAGTTCAATCATTTCTAATTACACTGGACCATTGCTTCTATGACTGAACAGCTCAACATTAAGTTAAGCTATTTGCTGTTTGCATGAATGATTTGACTTCGTACTGCACTGTTTGTGTCTGCATTAAATCAGTTGGCACTACACTAAACCATTG